GTCAGAGCTAGCTTAACTCAAGGCTCTCCTCTCAAAGAAAGGCGTTCTCTCTCATGCATTCACCGTAACGCCTGGCACCATGAAGAGAGACTGTTTTCTTACGTATTACTTTAATTACGACTTTGCTTATTTCTGTGCTACAAAACCAGTGGTTTTCATTCAAAACAAAGCCCTCTTACGAAAAATTGGAGTTGGTTGTCCAACATTGGACATGTCAGGTCCCCAGCCAGCACTGGCTGGGAGGTTAGGACTAGGATCTCATGCTGCACTTGGCATTACACGGGGAAGCACGGTAAAACGTGGGTAAGTAACAGTGCAGCACATTTCTACCTATCCGTATTTATACCTGAGGTATCTGGATCATGGTGTAATGCCGCTCTAGGAGTGGCGTGAAAACAAACCAAGAAAACTGCTAGGGGTGAAATTTTGGCCCCGTCGAAGTTAACCACAAAAATACCACCGACTCCAAGCAGTAAAGCTTTCAACCCCAGGCCAGCTATGGCAGCGTATCAATAAGATCTCATGATTAAGTCCAGAGAATAAACAGTTTATGCTGATAAAAAATGAATTTGTAAGTAACTTAGTCTGCTGCAACTCAAAGGGATGTGACCTTTTCCATTTATCTCAAGAGTACACTGAATCTCAAGCATGCTTTTTGAGGGAAAAATTTACAAGTAAGATAGGAATGCAACTGTGCTATTGATTTGTAGAACTCTGCAATTCGGGCAATTAATTGCATGCGCAAATGATAAAGCAAAGAAAGAAAGAGAAAACTGTCCTAATTGATCTTTCTTTTTTTGAGAGATGTGAAATGTAGTACTAAATGTATTCACTACCATTTTAACCGAGATAGTCTGTCTTCAATTGTTGGCCAGCATCCCACGATGTAAGATTGTAACACCATGGATCAAGAACAGAAGTAGAGAGTAATTCATAGACTGAATCAATGGACCATAATTAAAATATCATGTATAAAACAAATTCTGAAATACTACATTAAGGCTATGATTACAATTGGTTACAACTTCCTTCTAAATTCAAATGCTCACTAATTAAGCCCATAAGCCTGACACAAAAAGTGACTAGAGCTTTCTCTTGTCTCTCCCTCCAGTGAAAAAGGCTTTGTTTGATGCATTTGCAGAACAAACGGATGCACCATACACTTTCCAGCTAAGAATACCAAGAAGCTTAAAGAAGTAGTTTCTAAATATACAGGACTGATCATATCCTCCTTTGGTTAAAAATACAAAAGCAGTATGACTGGATATGTGACAAGTATCTTATATATTAAGCTCGTATTTACAAACAGTATATAAAAGCAGCTAAGTCATGGTAAGCTACAGTTGTTTTCTTTCCAGAAGAAAAGAAAAAATGAGGGAAAAATGGAGGAAAAACTACTAGGAAGTGAAACCAAGACATTTAGGCCGTATTTCTCATTTCTTTCTTGTGTGAGTGAAAAGGTTCTAAGTTAAAAAGAAAATGTCCTACATTAAAACCACTGCTTTTTGCCTACTCAAAATACCTGGTTTTGCAGTTAATAGCACATTGTGGTCATTATTTCAATACAAAGAAAAACAAAACATCTTATTTCTTCCAGGAAAATCAATGTGCTTAGTTTCATGAACAAAAATAGGACACTGACCTGCAGTAACTCAAACAACCGTGAATCCAGTTCTGCAGTACTTCACTCACGCAAGACTTCTAACTGAGCTTGGTGCCGGTTCAAGGAGGACAGAACGGAAAGCAGGATTCCCTTGCCATATAACCCAGAACACGAGGAGGGATGGGTGAAAAAAAGCACCCTAACGTAAAGCCAATTTGCTCTTTGTAGATGCATGAGTTTAGCTTATTGGTTTTACATCTTGCATTTTTAGCAATATTCTCATATTCAATTCTCGTATTTTATCAATATTCTCAAGTTCAGAGAAATGTTGTATTATATAAACTCAATGTTAGCACCTCTTCCATGCCACAAAGGAAGTTTCAGTATATAAAGGAGTTTTCAGTATATAAAAATTTATTACTATTTATTATTATTACTATTCCTTAGTTATAAGAAGGAAACAGAGTGAGTAGCAGGCAAAGCTGCATGTTTATCCCCTTCACTGCCCCCTTTGACGTAGGTGAGAACAGCAGCGTAGGGCTGGCTCTCTGTGGGCCTTCGGAGGTCGAGGCAGGGTTTGCCACGTTACGCTGTCTCCCCCTTCCCACTCCCCAGGCTGTTCACAAAGCCCCGAAGTTGGGAATTGAGTGGGCATAGAGAGGTGCATGGGTGAAGCTGGAAACGATCCTCTATGGCTGTTTCCCAAGATTTGGACAGGGTCCCTGCTCAGAAGTCTCTTTTCTTTCACTCATTACATCAAGTAGATAAAGTCAAAATCTGTGTTTCATCCACACGGATTTCTGGGATGGAACATTTTCACCTGGTCTTGCATTTTTTTACCAGGGGTTCATCTCCAGTGTAGCACTTCATTTAATATTTTTATTCTAGACAATAACAGACTCATACAGTAGATACAGTAGCTTAAAATGTTAATGGTATTGAAATACATCATTTGGATGTTAATGCTCTGTGTCAAAGTATTCAGATACTGAGGCAGCAGAGAGCACAAATGCAGCTGACTAATATTCAATTTACCTCCTCTTGCTTCTGTTCATATGGTCCGCCCCACCCATCCCCCCGAAGCTCGCTGCTGGTTTTATAGCAACGTCAGCAGTTCTCAGTCACAAGTCTCACAAGCCCTCCTATTTACTCCCCATTTAACTTGTAATTCTTTTGTCAAACATCTTCCATTTTCCCCCAAGGCTTCTTTATCTCTTTATACAGCCTTGCATGACGCCACTTTCAAGCTCATTCTGGCCGCACCTCAAGGAGAAGTGGCATTACCTCGGCCTGACAGCGGTTCCTAGCATCTGACATCTGACAGCAGCAGTCTGTCACTCTCTCTGTGGATCAGTGCTAGGAAGGGACACAGAAAATCTTTTTCCCAGCTACCCATTTTCACCTGGGAAGGGCAAGACGAACTCGCTGTCACGTCCCACGGGCAGCGTCCTGCGGCCATTTTGCTCTTCCTACGGTTTTCACCACTCTCCCCCAGTGCTCCAGATCATCCTTGCCCAGTCATCCCTCCTCCGCAGCCCTGTCTCATTGTCCTAGTCTCTTCACCAGCTAACTTGCTAGAGCTTTCCTCTTCTGGCTGCTTCTGCAAGTCTTGGTCTCCTTGCCTGGAGATCCAGCGTTGGCCTGAGGCCTCACCTTTCTGAGTCCTAGCTATGCCCTTCCCTGCGCAGCTACCAGGTGGCTCCTGTAGAGTTCTGGTTCCGGCTTTTGTTCCACCGGTATTTCATTCATGGAGGTTTCCCACCGCTACTTGCTCCAATGGGATGTAGAGGAGAGGAAGGCTTCATTTATTACTTGCCCACAACCTCACAGGGCATGGCCCTTGGTAGCTGCGAGGAAAATCCTGGGTTGTATGCAATCTAGCTGTAATTTGCCAGAAACTTAACCACTAAAATAATTACAGAAATCTCTACTGGGATTTGGACATATTTGTGAAAATAAATTTTTGAAGGGATTTAGACCTTGGCCAGATTTCACATCGTTACACAGACAGATCAGAAGTACAACTTAGATACAAAGACTACTCACACCAAATTTCTGATCTTTGCTTGAGAACAGAATGACACCAAACCATATTGACAGAAAGGTTTGAAGAATCTGGAAACCATTCATGCAACAATGTATTTTTGCCAAACCTTGTTCTGAGTGAAAGCACTAATATTGGTGAAATCAAGTAGAAGAGTATTTCTGGTAAAAAATTCTTACCTATTTCCCCTCACCTCCTTTTAACCTGACCAGGTACACAACTAATGAAATACACTCAGAGATGTACACACTGCTGGTCTTCTGTTATCATACTCAATCAATAAGAACAATTTAGAGCAGCGGTAACCTCTCCATGCATACTTCCATTGTCCCAAGGGATCAATATAATCAGTATCGCAGCTGGCTGGTGAGAAATGATGAGATTTTGATAACAAAAAGGCAAGCTTTCCAAATTTTTTCTTACTGTATGCCAAAACATCATACTTTTCTGTCTGTCCATAAAGGACAAAATAGCAATATTTAAGAATATTGTATCTATTTTAAAAAAAAAGTATATAAAAATTATGTTTTTATCTATGATTTCTTGAACTTTAGCTTTCTTTGCGGACGCATTATTTCTTTCCCTTAAAAGCAACTGTGAGATTTGATGACTTCATTCTTGGAAAAGGGCCATACACGTTTAAAACTGTACCAAATTTTCCATAGATTTCTCCTGAACAGG